TATGCCACTGTACCGTGCACTATACAAATGTACCGTACACTATACCACTGTACCGTGCACTATACAAATGTACCGTGCACTATGCCACTGTACCGTGCACTATGCAAATGTACCGTTCACTATGCCACTGTACCGTGCACTATACTACTGTACCGAGCAGTATCACACTGCACCGTGCACTATACCACTGTACCGTGCACTATACCACTGTACCGTGCACTTTCATACTGTGCCATGCACTATGCCACTGTCCCGTGCACTATACGACTGTACCGTGCACTATACCACAGTACCGTGCACTATACTAATGTACCGTGCACTATACCACTGTACCGTACACTATACCACTGTACCGTGCACTATACCACTGTACCGTGCACTATACTAATGTACCGTGCACTATACCACTGTACCGTGCACTATACCACAGTACCGTGCACTATGCCACTGTACCGTGCAATATACCACAGTACCGTGCACTATACCACTGTACCGTGCACTATACTAATGTACCGTGCACTATGCCACTGTACCGTGTACTATACCACAGTACCTAGCACTATACCACTGTACCATGCACTATACCACTGTACCGTGCACTATACCACTGTACCGTGCACTATACCACGGTACCGTGCACTATACCCCTGTACCGTGCACTATGCCACTGTACCGTGCACTATACTACTATACCGTGCACTACACTAATGTACCGTGCACTATACTAATGTACCGTGCACTATGCCACTGTACCGTGCACTATACTACTGTAGTGTGCACTGTACCATGCACTATACCCCTGTACCGAGCACTATACCACTGTACCGTGCACAATACCACTGTACCGTGCACTATACCACTGTACTGTGCAGTATACCACCATACCGTACACTAGGCCACTGTACCATATGCACTATACTAATGTACCGTGCACTATACCACTGTACCGTGCACTATACCACTGTATTGTGCACTATACCACTGTACTGTGCACTGTACCGTGCACTATACCACTGTACCGTGCACTATACCACTGTACCGTGCACTATACCACTGTACCGTTCACTATGCCACTGTACTGAGCACTGTACCGTGCACTATACCACTGTACCGTGCACTATACCGTGCACTATGCCACTATTCCGTGCACTATACCACTGTACCGTGCACTATACTAATGTACCGTGCACTATACCACTGTACCGTGCACTATGCCACTGTACCGTGCACTATACCACTGTACCGTGCACTATACAAATGAACCGTGCACTATACCACTGTACCGTGCACTATACTAATGTACCGTACACTATGCCACTGTGCCGTGCACTATGCCACTGTACCGTGAACTATACCACTGTACCGTGCACTATACAAATGTACCGTACACTATACCACTGTACCGTGCACTATACAAATGTACCGTGCACTATACTAATGTACCGTGCACTATACCACTGTACCGTGCACTATGCCACAGTACCGAGCACTATACCACTGTACCGTGCACTATACTAATGTACCGTGCACTATACCACAGTACCGTGCACTATATCACTGTACCTTGCACTATACCACTGTACCGTGCACTATACCACTGTACCGTGCACTATACTACTCTACCGTGCACTATACTAATGTACCGTGCACTATACTAATGTACCGTGCACTATACTAATGTACCGTGCACTATGCTAATGTACCGTGCACTATGCCACTGTACCGTGCACTATACTACTGTACCGTGCACTATACTGCTGTTCCGTGCACTATACTTCTGTACCGTGCACTATCACACTGTAGCATGCACTGTACCGTGCACTATCACACTGTAGCATTCACTGTACCGTGCACTATCACACTGTAGCATGTACTGTATCGTGCATCTCACATTGTACCGTGCACTATACCGCTGTACCTTGCACTATGCCACTGTACCTTGCACTGCCACACTATACCGTACACTTTCACACTGTACCTTACATTATACCGTGCACTGTCACACTGTACCGTTCACTATACCGTGCACTGTCACACTGTACCTTGCACTATACCGTGCACTGTCACACTGTACCTTGCACTATACCGTGCACTATACCATGCACTCTCACACTGTACCGTGCACTATACCGTGCACTGTCACACTGTAGCATGCACTGTACCGTGCACTATCACACTGTAGCATGCACTGTACCGTGCACTATCACACTGTAGCATGCACTGTACCGTGCACTATCACACTGTAGCATGCACTGTACCGTGCACTATCACACTGTAGCATGCACTGTACCGTGCATCTCACATTGTACCGTGCACTATACCGCTGTACCTTGCACTATGCCACTGTACCTTGCACTGCCACACTATACCGTACACTTTCACACTGTACCTTACATTATACCGTGCACTGTCACACTGTACCGTTCACTATACCGTGCACTGTCACACTGTACCTTGCACTATGCCGTGCACTAAACCATGCACTCTCACACTGTACCGTGCACTATACCGTGCACTGTCACACTGTACCGTGCACTATACCGTGCACTGTCACACTGTACCTTACACTATACCGTGCACTGTCACACTGTACCTTGCACTATACCGTGCACTGTCACACTGTACCATGCACTATACCGTGCACTGTCACACTGTACCGTGCACTCTACCACTGTACCGTGCACTATACCACTGTACCGTGCACTATACCATGCACTGTCACACTGTACCGTGCACTATACCACTGTACCGTGCACTATACCGTGCACTGTCACACTGTACCGTGCACTATACCATGCACTGTCACACTGTACCGTGCACTATAGCACTGTACCGTGCACTGTCACACTGTACCGTGCACTATACCATGCACTGTCACACTGTACCGTGCACTATACCACTGTACCGAGAAACATGATGGGAGTAAAGCAACTAATGTTGATCCAGCTATTCAATGACTCGCTGGTTCAATCTCACTGTCTCATAGACTCATTGATTCAAACTCAGAGTCACTGACTTACAAAATCAATCACTGACAGACTCACTGACTCAAACTCAGTGACTCAGACTCTTACTCATAGACTTATCGACATATCGAATCATCGACTCACAGATCAAGACTCATGAACGCACTTATTCACGGATTCACTGACCCTTGGGCTTACAGACTCATTGATTCTCGGACTCACTGACGCAGACTTATGCATGGCCTCACACTCATGGTTTTACTGGCTCACAAATTCATGGACGCACTGATCCACATACTCATAGACTCATTGTCCCTGTGACTTACCATGAGTCTGTGAGTCAATGAATTTGTATCATCCACTCATTGTTTCACACTCAGACTTACAGTATCATGGACCCACAGGATTCACTGATTCACAGGCTTGCTGAATCAAGGACCGACTGACTCATAGACTCGTGGACTCACACAAGCATGGACTCATAGACTCACACAACCATGGACTCATGGACTCACGCAACCATGGACTCATGGACTCACACAACCATGGACTCATAGACTCACACAACCATGGACTCATTGACTCACACAACCATGGACTCATGGACTCACACAACCATGGACTCATGGACTCACACAACCATGGACTCATGGACTCACTGACTCAGACTCATTTAATTTTGTTTCTTTACATGACCTTTACATATTTATCTTTTATATTTGTTTAAATTTATGAGAAACAATTACTTTTTAATTGAGAAATTAATTTATAAGTAATAATAACAATAATTTGTTGCTCAGCTGTGTTGCTCAGCTTTGTTGCTCAGCTGTGTTGCTCAGCTGTGTTGCTCAGCTGTGTTGCTCAGCTGTGTTGCTCAGCTGTGTTGCTCAGCTTTGTTGCTCAGCTGTGTTGCTCAGCTGTGTTGCTCAGCTGTGTTGCTCAGCTGTGTTGCTCAGCTGTGTTGCTCAGCTTTGTTGCTCAGCTGTGTTGCTCAGCTGTGTTGCTCAGCTGTGTTGCTCAGCTGTGTTGCTCAGCTTTGTTGCTCAGCTGTGTTGCTCAGCTGTGTTGCTCAGCTGTGTTGCTCAGCTGTGTTGCTCAGCTGTGTTGCTCAGCTGTGTTGCTCAGCTGTGTTGCTCAGCTTTGTTGCTCAGCTGTGTTGCTCAGCTGTGTTGCTCAGCTTTGTTGCTCAGCTGTGTTGCTCAGCTGTGTTGCTCAGCTGTGTTGCTCAGCTGTGTTGCTCAGCTTTGTTGCTCAGCTGTGTTGCTCAGCTGTGTTGCTCAGCTGTGTTGCTCAGCTGTGTTGCTCAGCTGTGTTGCTCAGCTGTGTTGCTCAGCTTTGTTGCTCAGCTGTGTTGCTCAGCTTTGTTGCTCAGCTGTGTTGCTCAGCTTTGTTGCTCAGCTGTGTTGCTCAGCTTTGTTGCTCAGTGTTGCTCAGCTGTGTTGCTCAGCTGTGTTGCTCAGCTGTGTTGCTCAGCTTTGTTGCTCAGCTGTGTTGCTCAGCTTTGTTGCTCAGCTGTGTTGCTCAGCTGTGTTGCTCAGCTGTGTTGCTCAGCTTTGTTGCTCAGCTGTGTTGCTCAGCTTTGTTGCTCAGCTGTGTTGCTCAGCTTTGTTGCTCAGCTTTGTTGCTCAGCTGTGTTGCTCAGCTTTGTTGCTCAGCTTTGTTGCTCAGCTTTGTTGCTCAGCTGTGTTGCTCAGCTTTGTTGCTCAGCTGTGTTGCTCAGCTGTGTTGCTCAGCTGTGTTGCTCAGCTGTGTTGCTCAGCTTTATTGCTCAGCTGTGTTGCTCAGCTGTGTTGCTCAGCTGTGTTGCTCAGCTGTGTTGCTCAGCTGTGTTGCTCAGCTTTGTTGCTCAGCTGTGTTGCTTAGCTGTGTTGCTCAGCTGTGTTGCTCAGCTTTGTTGCTCAGCTTTGTACCTAAGCTTTGCAGCTAAGCTATGCAGCTAAGCTATGTAGCGATGCTTTAAGCGATACTTGTATTGCTAAAAGCGAACAAAATACGAGGGTTTATTACTGATATGTTGTGTGTGTTTGTCAACAGTGTGGGGGAGCAGAGTGATGGTGGTGATGGTGACGGTGATGGTGACGGTGATGGTGACGCTCACCATTCCTGCTGCAGCTCAGTATCGTCCCGAGGCGCCTCCGCTGGTATGTTTCTCTCTCTCTCTCTCTCTCTCTCTCTCTCTCTCTCTCTCTCTCTCTCTCTCTCTCTCTCTCTCTCTCTCTCTCTCTCTCTCTCTCTCTCTCTCTCTCTCTCTCTCTGGTATACTACCAGGGATAGCTGGAAGTATACAATCTTATACCTCTAATAGCATACTACCAGGGGTATGTGATGGTATACTCACAACAGTAGTGGTATACTGCCACAACAGTAGTGGTATACTGCCACAACAGTAGTGGTATACTGCCACAACAGTAGTGGTATACTGCCACAACAGTAGTGGTATACTACCACAACAGTAGTGGTATACTACCACAACAGTAGTGGTATACTACCACAACATTAGTGGTATACTACCACAACAGTAGTGGTATACTACCACAACAGTAGTGGTATACTACCACAACAGTAGTGGTATACTACCACAACAGTAGTGGTATACTACCACAACAGTAGTGGTATACTACCACAACAGTAGTGGTATACTATACCACAACAGTAGTGGTATACTGCCACAACAGTAGTGGTATACTGCCACAACAGTAGTGGTATACTACCACAACAGTAGTGGTATACTACCACAACAGTAGTGGTATACTACCACAACAGTAGTGGTAGTGGTATACTACCACAACAGTAGTGGTATACTACCACAACAGTAGTGGTATACTACCACAACAGTAGTGGTATACTACCACAACAGTAGTGGTATACTACCACAACAGTAGTGGTATACTACCACAACAGTAGTGGTATACTACCACAACAGTAGTGGTATACTACCACAACAGTACTGGTGCCACAACAGTAGAGGTATACCTGGCCCAATAGTACCTGGTATACCTGAGTTATGTGAATTCGTATTTTGGCATTCATGTTTTGACTGGTTCTCACTATCTCTATGTCACTCACTATCTGTGACTCACCATCTCACTATCTTTGACTCACCATCTGTGACTCACCATCTCTGTGACTCACTATCTTATCATCTGTGACTCACCATCTCTGTGACTCACTATCTTATCATCTGTGACTCACCATCTTATTATATGTGACTCACCATCTCATTTTGTGACTCACCATCATATTATATGTAATTCACCATCTCACTATCTGTGACTCACCATCTCACTGTCTGTGACTCACCATCTCACTATCCGTCACTCTCCTTCACTCACCACCTCACTATCCGTCACTCACCACCTCACTATCCGTAACTCACCACCTCACTATCCGTCACTCACCACCTCACTATCCGTAACTCACCACCTCACTATCCGTCACTCACCACCTCACTATCCGTCACTCACCACCTCACTATCCTTCACTCACCACCTCACTATCCTTCACTCACCACCTCACTATCCTTCACTCACTACCTCACTATCCTTCACTCACCACCTCACTATCCGTCACTCACCACCTCACTATCCTTCACTCACCACCTCACTATCCATCACTCACCACCTCACTATCCTTCACTCACCACCTCACTATCCATCACTCACCACCTCACTATCCTTCACTCACCACCTCACTATCCTTCACTCACCACCTCACTATCCATCACTCACCACCTCACTATCCTTCACTCACCACCTCACTATCCTTCACTCACTACCTCACTATCCTTCACTCACCACCTCACTATCCGTCACTCACCACCTCACTATCCTTCACTCACCACCTCACTATCCATCACTCACCACCTCACTATCCTTCACTCACCACCTCACTATCCATCACTCACCACCTCACTATCCTTCACTCACCACCTCACTATCCATCACTCACCACCTCACTATCCTTCACTCACCACCTCACTATCCATCACTCACCACCTCACTATCCTTCACTCACCACCTCACTATCCTTCACTCACCACCTCACTATCCATCACTCACCACCTCACTATCCTTCACTCACCACCTCACTATCCGTCACTCAAGTTCAAATTTAAATTAAAAATTTTATTCAGTGTCACGTGGAGGTGGGCCGGGGCTCTGCTAGCACTCGGCTGCTAGGGGCTCAAAAGGCCGAATACTCAGCCCCTCCGACTCCCGGGATTCACCGGAGTCTCCTTGGTCACACAGGAGAGGACCAACAATGCCCACCTCCGCAGGTCTTTGCTTCCACCACAAAAAGGGGGGTGCCACTGATTCACCTTGGAAGCCCTTCAGTCAAACACGGAGAAACTGTTGTCAACAGTTCCGGCCTAGGCCCGTGGAGGAGTGAAGGAAGACTCAGGCTGACCTTATAACAATAACCTCCCTGAATCTTGCCTGCCAGACAAAAAGGTTGCAGGAACTCCTTTCCCGCCTGTCTTCTCTATCTTCTTCTTAACAAGGTCGCCAGCTGGGTTATTATATCTGCACCCCAGCAATGCAGTTCAGTGGGTGTATTATATATTGTTTGTAGCCAGAAGATTGCTACTCCCATAGATCTGCTACTAGACTGCTGGCCCAGGGAATTCTCCCAGGAAGGTCTGTGTGGCTTTGCCTCTCTATTGCCACTACGTTAATAGTTGCCACCATTCAGGCACTGATACTGATCGGATGGCTAAGGGTACACTTTTATGTAAGTCTGTGCTGTCTTTACCACTCTCCAGGCAATAAGAACTTCTATAGAGAACGTTGTGTTCCCTAGGTGGTACTATGATAACCTTCGTGTATGCTCATAGTGAAATGTTATAAATGGAGGCACACTTAAACACAATGATAAAATGTGTGAATTTACTGATGCAAATTACATGATCACACATACAATCACAAGTAATACATGAATATGGAAATAAGGATAATAAGTCTGGAGATCGTCAGCCTCTTCTTCCACGACCTCCAACACTCCTTCAACTGGGCAGAAAGACAGGAGTCACACTCTCTCACAGGAGGGCCTCTTCACCACGTCGGCGCCTCTCCTTCACTGTCCTGCCATCCATACACACTGTCCCCTCTGACAGTCCTGGACACAAGCTGCCTTGCAGCCTATTCTACTACTAAAGTATTAAAGTCCTGCTGCCACATACATAAGTAAATATTGTGGCCTAACTAGCCTACTCACACAAGGGGTAATGGGAGGGAAAATGATCTACCTTACATTCCTGGCTCACGACGCCTGTCCCTCGATGGTGTGAGGTTCCCATGCTTCCTGAGTCGATCCTCGACGATCCAGGAACGTTCCACAGGTCCTCAGGTGTCGTGGAGCCTTCGCGTCGTCGCCGTTCCAATCCCTGAGATTCAGCTACCCCAATCCTGGTTCATCGATGGGCGCTGAGCTAATCACTATTTTCCCACACTCGCCCCTTCCACAAGGCGTTGCTCCTTGTCCTAGGCACAGTGTCGTCCTTCCAAAACCCTCAGTGGATGTGACCCGGTCACAGCTAGGCTTGCCCGCCACACCTTTTCAGACCCTCAACGTCCAGCGTCGCCGCCCAGCGTCGTCGTCGAATATTTTCCAAGCTCGGCACTCTTTCGCTCAATAAACTTGGTTCCTTTTTGCTTCCCAGAAGCGCGGGGTCTCCAATACAGCAGATGGGCTGCAATAGCCAGCACTAATCCACTAAGAAAGGCTTGTAGAGCCTCTGATCCTTGAGAGCCGACCGAGGCACGTCCTCTCGCTTCCGAGGTTAGGTCAACTCTGACGTTGGCGCCGCCCGGGGCACTCGGTGACGTCATGGCGGGCCCTGATTGGTCGCCCGCGACCTAAGTCGGCCAATCCGCGATCGGCTAGTGTCCCTTCCAAAAGGTCATATCTGCATTAGGGGATACTCTTTCATTTTATATCAGGGTGCCAATTTCCCCTTATTTACAACTTATAATGTAACGTTCTCCCTTAACTGGCAGCCGGTCTGGTCGCCACATATATCATTAGACTCCCTGAACCTCAGAGAATCAGTAGGGAGAGCTGATATGACTCTTAAAGCAGGCAAACGAAAGAGATAGGAGAGGGCACTGTAACATCAGGTAAAAGTACATACATAGATGAAGAGTTACAAAAAGGGAAAAGAGGGAAAAAAAGTCAAATTAAAATTATATAGTAATAGAGATTAAAGTATAAATTGTATTAGAAAAAGGAATAATGAAAAAGGGGGGGGGGAAATAAGGCAGAAATCCGCAATTATACAAGTTGGTCAATAACAGCATTGTTTAAAATTGCAAGACATGGGTTGACATTTAGGCGTAAGGAAGGCTACATGGAGTTAATTTGGTACTACTTAGTTTTTATCTTAAACTGGTTGAGAGGTACAGTCTTTGACATGAATGGAAAGGTCCTTCCACATTTTGGGCCCCTTGATTTGTAGAGCATTTCTAGTTTGATTAAGTCGCATTCTTGGAATATCAAATAGTTATTTGTTTCTGGTGTGGTGCTTATGGGTTCTGTTACAACCTTCTAGGAAGCTTTTAAGGTCAGGATTGTCATTACAGTTCATACTTTTAAATATATAGAGTACACCTGAGAGGATGTGCAGTGACTTCATATCAATATATTCAGACATTTGAATAAGGGTACCGATTGCTGTCTGGGGCCAGAGTTAACTATTGTTCTAATAGCAGCTTTTGTTGAGTAATTAGAAGACGTAAATGACTTTGGGTAGTAGAACCCCAAGCACAAATACCATAATTTAGATAAGGATAGATGAGAGAGTAATAGAGCGTCACCAGGGCAGGGCGAGGTACATAATATCTCACCTTAGAATGCCAACAGTATTAGAAACTTTTTTGGGTATATTTAGAATATATCTCCGGAAATTCAGCTTGTTATCAATGAGAACATCAAGGAATTTGCCATTTACTTTGCTACTGATTTGGATAATGTTTATTCTTAGATTAATTTGATATGAGGCTTTATTACCAAAAAAACATAGAAAGTTTTGTCAATGTTAAGTACATCGTTAGTGCTTTTTTTGGGTCTGAAACCATATTTGTAAAAGCTCAGTATATTGTGTTTGGCTAGATAAGAGTAGAGCTGATTGTAGATTAGTTTTTCAAATATGTTTGACAAGTTTGGCAGAATTGATATAGGTCTGAAATTTTTTACATCAGTGAGATCACCACATTTATGGACTGGGGTTACCCTCGCTTTTTTAGAATATCTGGAAAGGTTTGGAGTTCAACTGATTTGTTGTAGAGCAATGCAATGGCAGGAGCTAAAAATCTGGAGGATTTTTGTGAATTTGAATTGGTATCTTATCAAGGGCACTAGACTTTATTTTAAGGGAAAGAATTATGTCATTAACATCATTGGAATTAACAGGAGTTAGGTACAGAGACTCTGTATAGTTACCTGTAAGGTAGTCTTTAACATTAGTACGGGAGGATGGAATATCATTAGCAAGGGATATCCCAATGGATGAGAAGAACCTATTGAATTCAATAGCAGAATCAGAGGATGAAAGCAAACCATCGTTATTGGATGGAGTATTGGTTTTTTATTTAAAATCTTTTTTTTATCCTAATATCTGGAAAATAGTGCTCCATGTTTTCTTAATGTTGCCCTTAATTTGGGTAAATTTATTCTCGTAGTATTTCATTTTGGCTCTTCTAATTATTTAAGACAGCATTGATGAGTAAATCTTTGAAAATTCTTTGGAGACGACTCCTAACCTATTCTTCTTCTCAAGCACTCACCACCTCACTATCCGTCACTCACCACCTCACTATCCGTCACTCACCACCTCACTATCCGTCACTCACCACCTCACTATCCGTCACTCACCACCTCACTATCCGTCACTCACCACCTCACTATCCGCCACTCACCACCTCACTATCCGTCACTCACCACCTCACTATCCGTCACTCACCACCTCACTATCCGCCACTCACCACCTCACTATCCGTCACTCACCAGCTCACTATCCGTCACTCACCACCTCACTATCCGCCACTCACCACCTCACTATCCGCCACTCATCACCTTACTATCCACCACTTACCAGCTCACTATCCGTCACTCACCACCTCACTATCCGTCACTCACCACCTCACTATCCGTCACTCACCAGCTCACTATCCCTCACTCACCAGCTCACTATCTGCCACTCACCAGCTCACTATCTGCCACTCACCAGCTCACTACCCGTCACTCACCAGCTCACTATCCTTCATTCACCACCTCACTATCCGTCACTCACCACCTCACTATCCGTCACTCACCACCTCACTATCCGTCACTCACTAGCTCACTATCCGTCACTCACCACCTCACTATCCGTCACTCACCACCTCACTATCCGTCACTCACCACCTCACTATCCGTCACTCACCACCTCACTATCCGTCACTCACCACCTCACTATCCGTCACTCACCACCTCACTACCCGTCACTCACCAGCTCACTATCCGTCACTCACCAGCTCACTATCCGTCACTCACCACCTCACTATCCGTCACTCACCAGCTCACTATCTGCCACTCACCACCTCACTATTCGTCACTCACCACCTCACTATCCGTCACTCACCAGCTCACTATCTGCCACTCACCACCTCACTATTCGTCTCTCACCACCTCACTATCCGTCACTCACCAGCTCACTATCTGCCACTCACCAGCTCACTATCCGTCACTCACCAGCTCACTATCCGTCACTCACCACCTCACTATCCGTCACTCACCACCTCACTACCCGTCACTCACCAGCTCACTATCCGTCACTCACCAGCTCACTATCCGTCACTCACCAGCTCACTATCCGTCACTCACCACCTCACTATCCGTCTCTCACCACCTCACTATCCGTCTCTCACCACCTCACTATCCGTCACTCACCACCTCACTATCCGTCACAGGTGTACGACTACAAGTGCGAGTCGACGGAGACCGACCCCGACGCCGACTGCATTTTCGGGACGGCGGGCAAGGACTACCCGACGCTCCGTCAGGTGCCCCCGACCAAGTTCACCTGTCAAGACCTCCTCCCGGGCATCTACGCCGACCCCGACGCTGCTTGCCAGGTCAGGTCAGGTCAAGGGTTGGCTGGTTAGGTCAGGTCAAGGGTTGGCTGGTTAGGTCAGGTCAAGGGTTGGCTGGTTAGGTCAGATCAAGGGCTGGCTGGTTAGGTCAGGTCAAGGGTTGGTTGGTTAGGTCAGGTCAAGGGTTGGCTGGTTAGGTCAGGTCAAGGGTTGGCTGGTTAGGTCAGGTCAAGGGTTGGCTGGTTAGGTCAGGTCAAGGGTTGGCTGGTTAGGTCAGGTCAAGGGTTGGCTGTCTAGGTCAGGTCAAGGGTTGGCTGGTTAGGTCAGGTCAAGGGTTGGCTGGTTAGGTCAGGTCAAGGGTTGGCTGTCTAGGTCAGGTCAAGGGTTGTCTGGTTAGGTCAGGTCAAGAAAGAAGCACTAAGCCAGTATAACCATGAAAAAACTAGGATCTGATACTCTCAATCATCACAGTTTAGTGGATCATGCTATGTCTGGGGGACTCCAGGAACGCAGGTTCAAGCCCATTGCACTGCCGTGGTCCACCTAACTCAATGACTAACCTTTACCACAGGATGTAGCCCACAACATCTTCCTAACTCCAGGGGAATATATTTACTACTAAGTGAACAGTGGAATTAGGTGAAAGGAAACCCACTGAAACGTCTCGCTCTGCTCGGGAATCGAACCCAGGACCATTTGGCAATGGTCAGTGAAAGCCAAAAACAATTAAGCCAAAATTGATGTTGTGCTTGCAATCATGAGGTGTTCCCCCCCCCCCCCCTCAGGGGAGACACCACAGGTGAGGGCCCCCCCCCCTTCAGGGGAGACACCACAGGTGAGGGCCCCCCCCCTCTCCAGGGGAGACACCACAGGTGAGGGCCCCTCCCCCTCCCTTCCGCCATTACAGGTTGTTAGCCCCATCCCGTTTTTTGTTGAGTTACGTTTTCTTAAGAAAGTCGGTCCGTTCTCTCTTATTGTTTTTACGGGAAACTTGCTTGTTGTTTCTGGCGTTAACGTTTATTAAAATAATAATTAATAGTAATTAATTTTGTTAGGGGGGACAGGCAGCCAGTGCATATATGCGAGTTACCAGGATGCAACCCAACACCAAACTGACTAACACCCTGGGTACCTATATACGGCTAGGTGAAAAGATGCATGAGGTGATTGGACACGCTGCTAATTTGTTATAGCTTGTCTACGGGGCTCTCTCTCTCTCTCTCTCTGTATCTACTTCTCTCTCTCTCTCTCTCTCTCTCTCTCTCTCTCTCTCTCTCTCTCTCTCTCTCTCTCTCTCTCTCTCTCTCTCTCTCTCTCTCTCTCTCTCTCTCTCTCTCACTTTCACCTGAGGCTCCGCCCACCACCAGTACTCAGACCTCTTGCACATGAACTGAGGTCAAAGGTCACCATTACCCACTTACCTCACGCCACCCACCTACCTTCCTCCCCCACACTGTCAACTTCCCCTCACTGACAGACCTCACTATTCAACCCAGTCTTTTTACAACGTCAGGAAGACGTCAGTGTTTTTCTCAGTCTAGAAACTACGTCACAGACGTCTGTGTTTTTATTCTTTTCTCAGTTTAATAACAACGTCAGACAGCTACGTCACACAGACGTCTGTATTCCCGGTCTAGAAACAACGTCAGACAATCGATAATTACACGTAGTCTAGTAACGACGTTATAAATAAGACGTCAGAAATAAGACAAAAACCGTACTGTCTACATGGGCCTCCTGGAACACAACCTGGACTAACTACATGGGCCTCCTGGAACACAACCTGGACTGTCTACATGGGCCTCCTGGAACACAACCTGGACTGTCTACATGGGCTTCCTGGAACACAACCTGGACTGTCTACATGGGCCTCCTGGAACACAACCTGGACTGTCTACATGGGCCTCCTGGAACACAACCTGGACTGTCTACATGGGCCTCCTGGAACACAACCTGGACTGTCTACATGGGCCTCCTGGAACACAACCTGGACTGACTACATGGGCCTCCTGGAACACAACCTGGACTGACTACATGGGCCTCCTGGAACACAACCTGGACTACATGGGCCTCCTGGAACACAACCTGGACTGACTACATGGGCCTCCTGGAACACAACCTGGACTACATGGGCCTCCTGGAACACGACCTGGACTGTCTACATGGGCCTCCTGGAACACAACCTGGACTACATGGGCCTCCTGGAACACGACCTGGACTGTCTACATGGGCCTCCTGGAACACAACCTGGACTACATGGGCCTCCTGGAACACGACCTGGACTGTCTACATGGGCCTCCTGGAACACAACCTGGACTGTTTACATGGGCCTCCGGGAACACAACCTAGACTGACTACATGGGCCTCCTGGAACACAACCTGGACTGACTACATGGGCCTCCTGGAACACAATCTGGACTGACTACATGGGCCTCCTGGAACACAACCTGGACTGACTACATGGGCCTCCTGGAACACAACCTGGACTGACTACATAGGCCTCCTGGAACACAACCTGGACTGACAACATGAGCCTCCTAGAACACAACCTGGACCGACTACATGGGCCTCCTGGAACACAACCTGGACTGCATGGGCCTCCTGGAACACAACCTGGACTACATGGGCCTCCTGGAACACAACCTGGACCTCCTGGAACACAACCTGGACTGACTACATGGGCCTCCTGGAACACAACCTGGACTGACTACATGGGCCTCCTGGAACACAACCTGGACTACATGGGCCTCCTGGAACACAACCTGGACTGTCTACATGGGCCTCCTGGAACACGACCTGGACTGTCTACATGGGCCTCCTGGAACATGACCTGGACTGACTACATGGGCCTCCTGGAACACAACCTGGACTACATGGGCCTCCTGGAACACAACCTGGACTGTCTACATGGGCCTCCTGGTATACAACCTGGACTACATGGGCCTCCTGGTATACAACCTGGACTACATGGGCCTCCTGGAACACAACCTGGACTGACTACATGGGCCTCCTGGAACACAACCTGGACTGTCTACATGGGCCTCCTGGAACACAACCTGGACTGTCTACATGGGCCTCCTGGAACACGACCTGGACTGACTACATGGGCCTCCTGGAACACAACCTGGACTGACTACATGGGCCTCCTGGAATACAACCTGGACTGTATACATGGGCCTCCTGGTACACAACCTGGACTACATGGTCCTCCTGGAACATGACCTGGACTGACTACATGGGTCTCCTGGAACATGACCTGGACTGACTACATGGGCCTCCTGGAACACAACATGGACTATATGGGCCTCCTGGAACACAACCTGGACTGTCTACATGGACCTCCTGGAACACAACCTGGACTGCATGGGCCTCCTGGAACACAACCTGGACTACATGGGCCTCCTGGAACACAACCTGGACTGACTACATGGGCCTCCTGAAACACGACCTGGACTGACTACATGGGTCTCCTGGAACACGACATGGATTGACTACATGGGCCTCCTGGTACACGATCTGGACTGACTACTTAGGCCTCCTGGAACACAACCTGGACTACATGAGCCTCCTGGAACACGATCTGGACTGACTACTTAGGCCTCCTGGAACACAACCTGGACTACATGAGCCTCCTGGAACACGATCTGGACTGACTACATGAGCCTCCTGGAACACGATCTGGACTGACTACATGGGTCTCCTGGAACACGACCTGGACTGACTACTTAGGCCTCCTGGAACACAACCTGGACTACATGAGCCTCCTGGAACACGATCTGGACTGACTACATGGGTCTCCTGGAACACGATCTGGACTGACTACTTAGGCCTCCTGGAACACAACCTGGACTACATGAGCTTCCTGGAACACGATCTGGACTGACTACATGGGTCTCCTGGAACACGACCTGGACTGACTACTTAGGCCTCCTGGAACACAACCTGGACTACATGAGCCTCCTGGAACACGATCTGGACTGACTACATGCGTCTCCTGGAACACGACCTGGACTGACTACATGGGTCTCCTGGAACACAACCTGGACTGACTACTTGGGCCTCCTGGAACACAACCTGGACTACATGGGCCTCCTGGAACACAACCTGGACTGACTACATGGGCCTCCTGGAACACTACCTGGACTGACTACATGCGTCTCCTGGAACACTACCTGGACTGACTACATGGGCCTCCTGGAACACAACCTGGACTGTCTACATGGGCCTCCTGGAACATGACCTGGACTGACTACATGGGCCTCCTGGAACATGACCTGGACTGACTACATGGGCCTCCTGGAACACGACCTGGACTGACTACATGGGCCTCCTGGAACACGACCTGGACTGACTACATGGGCCTCCTCTCTGGTATACTTGTGGGCCCAAGGAACATCTCTGGTATACTTGTGGCCTCATGGAACATCTCTGGTATACTTGTGGCCCCATGGAACATCTCTGGTATACTTGTGGGCCCAAGTGACGCTGTGACGATGTGGGTAGTGACGCTACGTAACCATAGTGGGGTATAAAGGTTGTGAACATGGTGCGTAGTGACACTACGTAACCATAGTGTGGTATAAAGGTTGTGAACATGGTGGGTAGTCAGACCTGGACTGACTACATGGGCCTCCTGGAACATGACCTGGACTGACTACATGGGCCTCCTGGAACATGACCTGGACTGACTACATGGGCCTCCTGGAACATGACCTGGACTGACTACATGGGCCTCCTGGAACATGACCTGGACTGACTACATGGGCCTCCTGGAACATGACCTGGACTGTCTACATGGGCCTCCTGGAACACAACCTGGACTGACTACATGGGCCTCCTGGAACATGACCTGGACTGACTACATGGGCCTCCTGGAACATGACCTGGACTGACTACATGGGCCTCCTGGAACATGACCTGGACTGACTACATGGGCCTCCTGGAACATAACTTGTACTCCCATGACAGTTTTTTGTAAAAAAAAAAATTATTAAAAGGTTTTTGTAAAATTTTGTAAAACATAAAAATTTTGCCTTGAAGGG